CAGAAATTAACAGATTGTCCTAGTTTTCATCGTATTACAAAAATAAGTGAAAAACAAAGAATGATATTTTTCCCTCGAGAAAATTTGTCAAACTATACTTGAACTTGGTTGATTTTGTATCGAATATGAAAGGAGTGGAAATATTGTGCGTGTTAGAATGAATTTTTTTTTTTTTTTTTTTTTTAGTAAAACACTCTGGTAATTATTTACGAACATATTGAGCTCATTATAGATATTATACTAGTCAGAGCTTTCACTGGACGTGTTCAAAGTATCTAAATAATCAAAATGAAATTCGTTGTCACCACCTTGAATTTTAAAGTACCGACTATGTCTTACTGTATTAATTTCCTTTTTGCCAATCGAGAGTATTATTTATTAAACACCTTAGGAAGTGAAAGTCTTATTAAGAATCCAATGTATTTCTGATCTTATCACACAATACTCAGTCAACTTGTTACTACGCCATCACAATGCAAAACCTTCTTTTCTCAATCTTCAGTTCACGTGATTCAACAAATCACGCGACAAAAATTTTGGAGCTCTGTTCGATTTTATTTTACACTCTACGTTCTTCGCGACAGGAACTATTGTAACATTGAATTAAATTACAAAATAATTGTCAATAAGCTACTAATAACAGAATCAAGAACCGACAGTGCTGAAATTTTTTTTAAATTTTGATTTCGATTTCATGAAAACGTTGAGAACCCACGAGATAGAGGATTCGAGCTAGAGGGCAACCAGAGAGGGTTGCATGGATTAGAGGGAGCGAGAGAGAGAGATATAGGGATGAAAGAGAAGGGAGAGAGAGAGGAGAGAGAGAGAGACATAGGAGGGATGCTGGGTTGTCGAGGGGTGCATCCGGGATCTCGGAGGGTGGCGATTCGTGGGGCGGTCGGTCGTCATGGATACGTTCCCGGCTAACCCCTAACCGCTCCTCCTCCCTTGTCATCCACATTTTCGCGACTATGCCGCCATCATCGACCCACCATCTTGTACCAAGAGGACAAACCACGAGATATGTCCTCCCGTTCAAATTTTTCGATCACTCGACGATACTGCAAATCGGCAAGCCGATTATAATTTTAAATCGATCAACGTTTCAAGACGGTACGATATCTAGGATGATATGCGTGTACTACTGTCCATAACGTACATTTGGTAGTACAACGTGTTCAAATACATGCACATATGTATAAAATATGTACATAAAGTTATATATGTATGTATAAAATAGAGGATGTTAAAATAATTTTACGGGACTGATAAAAGAAACTTTCTGCTACCGACAAGTCAAAAACTAGCGTGCCATTCCACACGTAGGGAATGTATCCCTCAACATTCAGAATTTTTTACTAGAAAGCTTCTCAAATAAATGAAACAAGAATCTTATATATCTTTTTCGTTATTTTATTAATAAAAAATTCGGTTAAATTTTATCTCTAAATAGCACCTCTATTTTTAATTCTAATTTTATCTCTATTTTATCTCTAAATAGCACCCTGGAATCTGCCACTCTTTTCTACAAATTACCATTCTCTAATAACAAAAAAAAAAAAAATCCATTTTATCAATAAAAAATTTCAATTTTGAATTCCCTCGTCCCCCCCCCCCCCCCCCCCCCCCCCCCCCCCCCCCCCCCCCCATCTACCGCCTTTTCCTCCAATAAACATCGCGATTACAAGTTACGATTCCCTGCGATACGGAGCAACCCTTCGTTTCACCGTTACCTTCACAGAAATGTCTCGACCGTAGCGGAGAGAGAGATGGGAAACCTTTCTGGCGCGTGAAGTTTTCAAGCGGCTGGCCGATAAATTTCCGAGGAGCAAGCAGGATATTGGTGTGGTCGTGGAGAGAGAGAAGCGGCAGTCGACGACCGTTTTGCTCAGTTGGCAGCGGTGCAACCCTCGTGCAACGCACCCGTTGCAACCTTTCCACTTCCACCCCCTTCTGCTCTCCCTCCCTCGCCCCTCTACTACTCTTCATCCCCCTGTTTCCACCCTTCTGCGCGGAGGGGGCGTGGGCGGTAGATAACGTGATTTACACTGGCCGGGTAATTAATGTCCTCGGCGACCGGCGCTTTAAAAAAACAATCGGAAATCGGCGACAACGAAGAGCAACAGTCAGACTGCTGGTATCGCGGCCGCCACTCGCCTGACAAATTATTACGCCCGAGATTTTCCCTCTTTTTGTTTATTTATCTAGTACCCGTTTTTTTCTCCCCTTTTTTTCTTTCGCGCGCGGATTTTCGTACCGCTCTTCTCGCACCACTAACTAACGATTGGATAAGTGAACGCTCTACAATGAAGAACATTACTGAAAAATCTTACTTGCGAGATACTTGCAACATCGTAAAGGAATCGTGCAAAATAATCTCATTTCGCATCGTGTTTGTAGTGATTTTCAAAGATGTTCGTACAATTGGTAAAAAAAAAAAAGGTCTCGAAGAAACATCGAAAGATTTGTATTATGTCTAAAAATATCGGAAGATTCATAATGGTCTTGAATCCCCTGATGCTTGCTGCTTTTGCACGATTTTTAGTCTCCATTTTATCGTATTTTAAATATTAGGATTCATCCCCATAATATTAAACGTTCGATAAAATAATGGGGGAAAATGATACGGAAAGTTTTAAGGAATCGTTGCAAAAGAGGAACTTCAATCATCAAGATCATGGTGGATATAAAAAAAAAACAAAACACTCAGTATTATAGTCGAAAATCGAGGAATACTGGACAACGTTTGTGTTTTAGTATAGTTAATTTCACTTTGGCTCCAACACACGCAAAGTGCTCTTAATTACGTGGAACGAGTAACGTGAGAAAAGAGGTAAAAAACCAACTCGATCACGAGACACGTCAAGATCGAAACGTCTGATTAGATCTTTTTGATTCTGAAATCATGAGAAATTCATGAGAAACATGAAATTCATGAGTAACTCGATTTAATTATACTGCCGACAACTTAGGAGTTCCCAGCCAGATCATGTGCCAGTGATTCATTTACGTTTCTTTATCTTTCAGATTCTAATATTAGCTATTTATTTTATTTTTATTTTTTTTTTTTTTAGAGCCATTATTTCAATGTTGCGTGTGATTAAATTCCTAGCGTTAAATACATAAAACCAAACTACCAACTACTAACTAGATTTAAAACAGCCGATCGATTACTCAAAGTTCCGAGTAAATTGAATCGAACATCCTAGAAATACACAAATATACACATAGTTTGTTTAGAATTATTAAAATTTGCAAATGTTGAAAAGTTAAAATATTTATATTTTTTGCGTAAGAGATATCTACACGATGTTTCGTGATTTTACATTGTTGAAACGTTTTTATTGTCAAACTGTAGGTATTATTGTAGCAAACTGTATTGACGTATCATTTCTATACATCCGTTTACAGTTTTATTGATTAATTTTTATATAAATATATAAATAAGATATACACTTCCATAAGTTTTGAGACTCTTGCTAATTTTCAGCGTAATTATACGTATATAATTACATTTTAATTATATTTTATATAATTAATTTTACTTTGCAATTATGACTATCTTAAATATGTCAGATATCCCGTAACTTATAAATAAAATAAAATAAACAATTAGATAAACTGCGTTTATCTAATTTATAATCGACAGTATACATAGTATGTGCGTACGTAGTTTAATAAAAAATTCCTATACGTGTTTATAAGATTAAACAGTCATGTTTAACTTAAACTCGAGATCTTCCACTCGTAACAGATCCTTCAATCTTGCTGACCAACATAACCGATCGTGTAAGTAAATTGCATTACCAAGTAATAGCATTAAGGTAATAGTATTAACGTTTCCTACATTAATCGTAGGTCACGCAAGTACGCGTGGAAAAGCACACGCAACTCAATTATGTGGAAGTTCATGTCAAGTTGTACAGAGCTGAAGCAAAAGTTAAGCTTCGAACGATATTCCTTTCATTTTACTTTCAAATCCTTCTTTTTCTCTTTTTTTTTTTTTTTTTCGTCTCATCGAGTTTCAGCGAATGCATATCGTAGGCGAAAGAAAGGGAGTCGCGTGACGATTCACGATTATGTATTTCCATTTTATTCCCAACGACTTCTCGCAAGCTACGATTTTACGTTGATGAAAGATGGTGTAATTTAGTGAATCGACTGGTTAGGTGAAGAATAGAGTTATTAGACTGTGGATTTTTCCATTAAGAGATTTCACAGAAAACAATTTTCGTGTTATAAAGTATAGTTATAGTTGATGATAATTTTATTATTGATCAAAACTTTCATTCTTTTTTTGTAATGAGTGATATATATTTTAGTGTATGTTAAAATCATGGAAATTAAAAAGTTTCTACTTTTTAAACGATACCTATAGTTACTACTTTTACCCTCTACTTTTAATTCTCTCAATTCAAAGACAGAATCACTCTATTATATAATGTACTTAATCTTTTCTTTAATTCTTTCTTACGTGTATTGTATAAGCTTCATTTTAGGATTAACAAAATGTCTCATCTTTTATCAGAACAAAAACTGCAATCTATCCCACTGATGAGCAAAAAAAAAAAAAGATCTACTTATACAGATGATAACGTTATTGCTTCTTGGAAGTGATAATAATACAAACAGACGAAAAAGGAAGCTGCATTTCCATTGTACAACTGAATTTCATACATTTCTTTTGTCACGTGGAACTTCCTTTAAAATAAAAAAGAAAAAAATTATCTCCAATAATATCCTTAATAATCTGAATTTCATCTTCTAATAATATCCTTAGCAATCTGATCAATATCAAACGCAGACAACAAAATCTTACCAAAAACCATTTGCATTTGTCATCATAAAATAAAATTCTTTAAAAGATTTCATCTTACAAAGTTTCATTTCTCATGCTCTGCCAAGGAACAATCGTTATCATGTGTGAAATCTACTGTCTACGTGAACGTACACAGTGTAAGAAGTGAGAAGCACTGTTATTAATCTTTTGATCGACTTACCGGTGATGGAGGCGGTTGGCGAAATGGCGGATGGATTGGCACGTGGCGGCGGCGAGAAAGCACCGGATAAATATCCACCGCGGTCGGCGAGCGCTTGTTTCGCTTTGTCGACGCTTTCCTTGAGCCTCTGGAAGGTGCTACCGCAGGTGAGGCCGCGATACGGCCAGTTCTCCTGCTTGACGCCGGCCGCGGTTACTCCTGCGGCCGCGGCCGCCGCTCCGGCTCCAGAGGCTCCCTTTAATTCGAGCGCACCTGCGTACGAACAGCTAGCGCTGTCGTACATCACCAAAGAGCCCCTGTAAAATCAGTCAAATTAATCTTTCTAAACTTAATTTGATCTGGGAAACAATTGTTTCATTAACTCTCTGCCATTCGATGGATTGAAAAAATCACAACAGTTCAAGGCAGGGTACTGGAAATTTGAATTTAATTTTAACTTTTAAACTTTTTATTTATCTTTATTAAGTTATCCGAGTATTTTCCCTTATTTCTTTATTCTCTTGTTAAGTTACAACTTATCCTTTATTTTATGAAAATTAAGAGTTAGACTGATTTGCTTTAGCCACTGTGACTTGTGATTATCAGCCTTCCACTTGTCTTAACGTGATGAAATGTCTCTTTAACTGTTTATATTAGTCTCGTGAGAGTTTCTGAAAATGAACTCGAACATGAAGAAAAATGGCGACAAGAATAGAAAACAAGAAGAATTGTAGTGTGAATAATTTCAGGTAAGAGAATAAGTACTTGCACACATGTAAAATGGTTATCATAGATTTTATAAAGGTAGCTGAATCAAAATTAAAAGAACAATTGGAATGAGGGCATTTAGAAAATGAATTGTTAAATGGAAATTGGTTAAATGGTAAATAGATTTTATGAATTTTGTATATAGTAAAGAGAAGAAGAACGAATTTAGAGTTCTTTCAGATAATAATGAAATTAAGAATGGAATGGAAAAAAAGATTATAAGCAAGTAAGAAGAAGAATGGAAGAATAATGAGAATAATCCCAGGTTTCTTACGCAATAAGAAAAAAATGTACTGATCTCTGTAAAAATAGATTAAGCAGATGAATATCAATGAAAAATCTGTTATATGATAAGGAAACATAATGAAGAGTAATATAAAAAAATGGGGTAAAAGAATAATATAACATAAAAAAAAGCAATGTAAATAATAGAAGATATAAGTGACTTTTCATTAAGTTAAACATTTCCCGCTAAATAAATTCTACAACATTAATTCTAATTTTCATAGACAACGAACAGTATTAACAGAATATGAACTACTATGACGCTTCGTCAGTACTCGCGTATTACAGTAGGCAGTGTCGTTAAGGATCATTAAAGGACCCTCGAAGCATCCGGTAAAGTCACGATCGAATTAAATCGAACGAGCATGTACGCAAGAAAGTTTCTTGCTCACAAACCTGTCGGCGCTCTTATTACGCATAACTTGTCTTCTCACGCAAGAAACGTAATTAAAAATAAGAACACAGTGAAACACAGAAAAATATAATCGATGGATGCTATTTGAAAGTTTCTCTGTAAGAAGAGGAAATTTTTAATTGGTGGATATATCAAATACTTCAGCGTTAAATAATTATTATTATTATTAAATAATTACTCTTCAGATAATTGAATGAAATTCTGCACGCACACGATATTCATCGTGAATCACTGATAACTCTCATATCGGGGATAGTGTCTGTTAATAGATTATACAGATCGTTACCTAAATCCCATATCTACGATCTATCCATTATGGATTATCTTGAATCGTGACACTGCAATGACGTTTCGAACATGAACAATATCTCGATCAATTAATCAATCAACGCATCCTAATCCATTAAGAACGATATTGTTTTTTTTAATAGTATACCTAAGAAAACAATACACATTAATGAATTTCTATATCTTCGATAGGCTTGAAAATCTTAATGTAACATAGTGCAAATTTTGCAATCTATCCGTGCGTTAAAAAAAGAACACAGTACGTGTTTATATCGTCTAAAGGTTCGTTTAAACATATTAAAAACAAATATAGTGTATTTTTCATAAAGACTAACATTTCGAAAGTCTACGTATTATAATTTTTAATATGCACTACAACTACATTTTTTAATATGTACTACATCAAAATTTTTCTCAAAGATTTCACAGTGGTTTTCTAAAATCTAGAATATTTTAGAAAAGATATAATATACGTATCTCTGCACTTTGCAACGACTAGGAACTCTCGAGGAGCCACCGAGAGACTTCAGAATCCGGTGGCAGAGGAGATAGCAGCGGACGAACGGTTAACTGGAGGTAGATTACGTGCACGTAACGAGCGGGAACTCATAATCGATCTGTCGTAATTTAGAGAGGAGCTACCGGGTACCGTCGATCTACATTTTATGAACGCGGCCTCCAACTTATCGCCTCCCATCGGAATTCCGAAAGTGATACCGCGACGACATTTGCATCGTTATCCCCACGAACGCTATCTTCGCTCTCTATCTCAAATCAATCCAAGAAAAAATTAAAATTGAAGAGAGAAGATAAATAAGACTTCTTTTTCTTACAATATTTCTTTCACACGGTACCAAAGTCTTCGTATAACCTGATTCACCTTCCTTCCTTCTCCATACATATATCCATCATAATCGTCACGAATCTTTCATCCCTGTTAAAAATAAATCCGATAGATTCAAAAGAGAAGTTTCAAAAAAACAACGAGTAAACGATATTTTTCCTCCCAATCTTCTCCGCGTACAAAAACGATTTTTCTTTCTTCATTCTCTGCGTATCCACATCTGTCACTTCCTTCGACGAGTTACGTGAATTATTTGACTAACCGGAAACGAACGACGACCAGAGACAAAAAATGGACGCGGATTTTACCTGCTGTCGCTGCGACGATGTCCACGATAAAATGCAAGCTGCACACCGTACACGCTGACCATCGATTGTCTCCTCGATAAGAAATGTTAAAAAAAAAAAAAAAACACACACACACAACGTTTCTATTTTTCCTCCAAGTTAAAACGACGATTTCTTGAGAATCTCTAATCAGCCTTGACGCGATGTGTCGTTCTCATTTTATGAATTCGCAGATGTCGTCGGAAACGGTGGATTCAGCGGGAAAGCAGCGAAAACACAGTTCGAAACTGAACGCACCGCGCGGATGTCCACAGTGTATCGAGGTCAATTTAATCACGTTCACAAAACTGTCACATAATCACGGTGCACCTCCGGCGGGCCGCAAGTATACGGTTTCCGCATCCCGTCCAGTTAATCTTCAATACTAGATAGCAATTGATATCAGGAAAACTCTCGTGCACGTATGTAATATTATTCTTCTGTTATAAATCTTTTCACTAGAAACAAATTTTCATAACGATATATAGTATTGTTACATGTACGTTAGTAATACACAGTACGTATCATACATTTGAAGAACAGCGACGTTTAATTGTTTTCTACGTTCCGTTCAGTTAATCTTCAATATTGCGTGGTAATTGATATCAGGGAAGTTCGCATAATCCTTGCCCGTTTGTTTGTACGTGTATGTTTTCATAGCAAACGAATTTTTTGTAATAATATATATCATTGCACAGTTTCTCTAGTATACACGTATTAGTAGAATATAATATATTATACGTTAATAGTATATTATACGTTTACTATATATATATATACGTTTCAGGAGTGACAACATCCTCGAATATTCGTCGGTTGCAAGAGGTCCCTTAAGGGATAGATTTACGAACGATTACCCAGGATCCTCTGTACCAATGATGTACATACATAGGTGTGTATATATATATATCCTCTATAAACGTCCAGCCCGATACTATTTTTGTTTCTATCTTCCTAACCTCTAATCAGCGTTGTCACTAATCTTGTTTGTAGGTTGTTGCGTCCAAACGGAGAAGCTTGACAAGAGAAATATAGGAACCACGAATTATCACTGGGAGAAACATCGTAAAATGTCACCGAGTATTGTTAATGTAAACAATAGATCAAACGATCGATCGATCAAAGATTCGGAGAACGATTGGCGGGATCACTGTGGGATACGGCACGTGCGCGCTCTAAGCTGATCGGAGACGACACAGGATTGTCGGATATCGGCTGGTGAAGAGGCTGGACCTGATATCAAGAAGAAGGTACTCCGGGCAGGTTGTCTCGCGCAACTGCGGCCGCCGCGGCCAGCAAATTGCCTGCTTCCGGGCCTCATTACATCACTCTGTTACTCTGTTAACGCTCGCCGGAAACCCCTCTGCCTACCTCGTCTAAACTCTCTCTCGCATGTACCTACACATACTATTTAAATGTAGTGTGTCGCGGACGACGCGGCCGCGCGTACTTCCAATACGAAAGAGGGAGAAAACGATAACATCGCGTCTACCTTGCTGCGTTTTCTTGTCAGATGATTCGATGATGGCCTGTTTGGTTTTGCTTGTGTGCAACAGTATCTTATGACGGATGTTGGATTCTCTGTGTTTCAGGTTGAGTGTTCTTTTGGCGAGGAGGATGATTGCGTGATGATTTGTTTGATTTCTTGTTGCCACTTTGCAATGATGACTGGATAATAGAAAAGGTAGGCATTTGATTTCATATAAATATCTGTTTGATAGTAAGGCAGGAAGAATTGCATGGTAATTTTTCTTCTTGTTTGCGACAGCTGATGGTGAGACTGAAAGAACTGCATGATGATTTCTAACTGTTTATGGTGGCTCATGATTGGAAAGGTTGATTGATATTTTATCGTTTGACTTTTGATTATTGAATCTTGATTATTGAACTTTGAAAGAGGAAAAAAGTTTAAATTGTTCTTTTTTAGATAGAATGCTTTTTTTAATGGATGATGTTTTCTTGTTGCTTGTGATGATTTTATTGATTTGATATATGATTTACGACTGTTGGATGCCGAAGTTATTTGAAAAAGGAGAACAATTTTAGGTAAAGTATCAGTAAATTGAAACAGATAATATATTGCTTGAAATAACTAATAAAAGAAATTAGTACGTGATTCCTAATAAACATATTAATCTATATCACATGATATATGATTTGTGATTGTAGTAAAAAATAGAATTTAGGAGAAACAGATTATCAGATTCTTTTGGTATTATTCAAGCAACATTCATTGTAATATTTTGGTTAGAGATACTGTAAATGTTGTAGTTATATACTATATAATTGTTACTGGAAATTAATGGTCTTTTATTTTTGATATTATTCAAATAAAACATTCTTTTAGTAATAATTTCTGCGTGCAGGTAGATTAAAAGATTGAAAGAATAAATAGAGTCCTATTATTACCTATGATTTAGGTAATGATTCTTTCGTACGTAAGCTATTAATCCATGGATTTTTATCCTTTTACAAAAAAAAAAGAAATAAATAGAATCCTGGATTCCTAAATAATGTTCCCCTTAATCATACACGTAGTCATTTATTATGACTACATATAATAAATATAAAACATAATGAAAGATGATTAGCAACTAGCTAAAGTTGATTCTTAGAATCACTGTAGTAATATTAAACACAATCGCTCAAAAAGCCACCAATTCATTGCACAAGAACTTGATTAATATTAATATCAGAGTATATCGCTATGTTTTTCATTTTGTTGTATTTTATCTTGGTATTTCTCCTCTAATATGCAAAACACGATGCCTAAGGGGCGATGACGTTTTTCAGATACAAAGCAGAAGTACTAGTACAACGGTAAAAACCGGATCGGCTTCCATAATCGCGATCCTATAGTTAATGCATGACAAAGTTCATCGATAGAAAAAGAAGAAAACACGGATATTGCCTGAACGAGGTGCTCTTCCTTTAAAAACAGGAATCCTTTAACGATAAAAATAGAACAAGAAACATCTACGTATGCTTAACGAGACGCGAGTAAATTTTAAATTCCTCTTACACAATGGCAATATATAATGGCAAAGAATTGATGATTAAACAGCAGAAAGAAAAGAAAAACAAAAGACAAAAATAGATTTACCTTATTAAAGATCAAATACTAGTTTCACGTCATAATAAATTATAAATTCAGCGATTCAAGATGAAAGAATGAAGAAAAAAATATCTAATCAATCTTTAGAATTCATTTCATTAGCTACAATATTAACCTCTTGCGCTGGAATGACGTGCCACGTACGTCGAGAATATTTGGCCCAAAACAAATGATAAACTTTTTAGTAATTACTTTTTAGTAATTTCTATCTCCAGTGATATACCGGATGAATTCAAAAAGAAGACGAATTATTGTATACGGTTTGGTCACTCGTTATGATCCGTGAACCAGTTACTAGCGCAAGAGGTTAATAAAATGTTGCGTCAATTGATCTTTAATGGGTTAAGGAATCTTGCGAGAGGAACAATGCTGTGCGCTTTTAAAAAATATAGGACAATGCAGGAGAAATACAGGAAAATGTGTAGAATTTACGAGGCGTTAAAAAAATGAATAACAGCGGTGTAGAATGCGGAGCAATGAAAGAGATGGCAGAAAAAATTGTGAACGCGGGCGGTAATTTAGCGTTGAAGATACAGCCGGAGCAGTTAATACGCGAAACATGCGTGCAGGCAGGTGAGATCCGTACGCAGTGTATATCATAAATGCAAACTGACAAAATCCGTGGGAAAGAATCGGAAATAATAAACGTGCCGATTTTTATTCAGTGGGTATCGGAAATTCGACCACAGAGCGATAAATGTTCATATAGTTTCACTACTGGACGATCCGAAATCATTGTGGTCTAATTGTACGAGTGTAAAGACAGAATGTTTCATATTAATCTTATGATTATTCTACTTAACTTAGACTTCAAATTATTATATCATATACAATAATATAACAATTGTTAAGTCTTATAAATTTTATTATAGATATTTATTTTGTTGTTGATAATGGAAGATCAATTAAATATAAATACAATATTAAATATTTAGACACAATTAAATATATTTATTAGTGCAATATCTTTTATTCATAACGTTGATATGGGAAGTAGGATTTCAGCAGTCAAAATAAACTTAATTCTGAAGTAAAGCAGATAAAACTTTGAGGTCATCAGAGTCATCGACTTCTAAGACATCAGGACTCTTACTTACGTACATTCCCACAGGTTTTATGTGGCCTATACTATTTATTATAATATATTATAATATTTTTATTTACTTCACTATTTACTATATTCTACAGTTGTTACTTAATTTCAAGACAAAAAGGTTGAAATTCTAAGTACATTACAGAATCATAGTTTCCAAAATTATTTTTGCTTTGAACGATTATTTTTATTTTTTTTTTTTTTTATTACAATATTTATTAAAACATAATTATTTTCGTATTGTAGGTACAATCACAGGCAACTCAGACTTTCTATCGCTACCATCAGCCTGCTAGCTCTACAATTATCAAAATCTTATTGGAAAATCAATCCATTCAATCCAAAATGATTTCAAACTCACCGTCAATGCGGGGTCCTGCGTGTACCCTTATCCAGCACCGTCAAATCCAGTTCGCCTTTCGCTCCAGGTAGCCCAGACTGAGTCTCGAACCTTCACCTTCTCACTTGCAATTAAATCCCAACCACGCTTTTTAATGACAGTTCACCCAGTATCGAAGCCTCGTTTCTCTTTCAAATATTCTTCAACGGCAAGGAACTTCAGAAAACGAGGAGAGAAGAACCAAACCAAAAGAAGTCAGCAACATGAACACGCGGATATTCTTTCAAAGTGATATCAGATCCGATAATATACAGAATAAAATCCAAAGGAAGCCGTGCGGCTAGCGAGGACAGGTGAAACGGTGACTTAACAATCGAGCGAGCCGGCGTTCGATGGACGATAGCCGGCTATCCGAGCGGATTACAGCCCCGGAGGATGTAACGAGGCTGCGAAGAACGCGTGGACCACCGTGGCGAACTCGGCCGCGATGCGACGGACGCACATTTGGCAGCGTCGTTATCAGTCGCGGTCCGACGATTGGCTGTGTATCGGAGCCTGCGCCGGGACGCCGGGAGAGAGGGTGGAGATGGCGGTGGAAGAGGTAGGAGGGTTAGTCGCTAACCCCCTCGTGCTGGGCTCTGGCATGAAGCGGCTCCTTAGAGGCGGGATCATCCACCAGGGTGGATCTTTCCTCTCCCTTCCTGCCTGTCTTTCCCTCTCTCTTCCTCTATCCTTATCTGACGTGTTTCTACTACGACATTCCGTGTCCTTGTCTCTCGTGTTCGTTCGATGCATACGACCGTCTCTGTTGTACTTTGTCAGGGGCTCGATTTAACTTTTTCCATCGTGTATCCACTGTTTCTTTCTGATTTCGCTGAATTTAAGATCTTCCTTGGGGTGACTGGTCTCTTATGAGTTTCTTAGTACTTTAGTTCTTGGATATTTTTGGATGATTTTTTTCTTTTGTTTAAGCAAAGTTGTAACACTCATCTCGTTTTCTCTGTTTACAAATAATCATAGTTAAAAATAATCATTGATTGGATTTACGGACAATTGGATTATGTTATAATCCAATACATTGGAAATCAGGATCTACAAATTTATAATTCAATTGATTTTTTTATAATGTAATTGCGAGCTCACGTAACGTGATGAATCTTTTGTTTTGAAAAATTGAAGTATGTGGACGGATACATTTTTGCTTTTTTATGGACAAGGGATTAATTGATATTCGAATTTGCTGATATTAAATACGATAAAAATGAAAAATGAGGAATTTATTTAACAAAAAAGTAAATAATTTCAATATCAAAATTGATATATTTTATTTTCATATTTTAGATATAATATGCAGTATTATAAATCTAATAAACAATGAAATTTTTCGAACGCAAAGCAGTTTTAATTGAGAGATAAAAACCGGAACGATTTTTGTAATTACATACGTGACAAAAATCATTCAAGGAAAAAGAGAATATGTATTGGATATTCTACTGTTGTCTCTAGAGGAAGCTAAAATTATACAACATTACATAGTATATCCTGTTATACTTTTTTTACTTTTAGTATTATATCTATCGTATTTGTTAATTGATAACATTGAGGAAATTTCCGAAGATACTAACCAAAAGAAAAGGAGAATTTTTAAGCAGAACAGAATGAAAATTGTTGCATACGAAGCTGAAATTTTGGCATGTATCGTAAGTGGTAATAGAATT